TTCGTGAATATTAAAAAAGTCCGTCATTTTTATGAAGCACCCTTGTTGTTATTTGAATGGCACATGGTAGATTAACTTGTGTGCAGTGAGTTGTTTTCATCATATTTTATTTTTGGAAACTTTTATTCCATTAAATCCTGTTGAGCAGTCCATATTCAGACATATTAATATGCGTTGTGTTAGTCTGTTTGTGAGTGAGTGAGTGAGTGAGTGAGTGAGTGAGTGAGTAAGGGATAACGACAAGGGGAATAAGTGAATCTGGTGCTACTGTTACACAGGCTTTGACAAATATACTTTATTTGCACTAAAAACTAGGTACAATTTTATGTCTGCGGGGTACAGGAAAGGTACACATACAAATAAGAGACCTACGTGAACATGTAGTTGCATGTACCTGGGTACAAAACAACGGTACACAGGTGGAAAACAGCCCCCTTGGCTCTAGAATAGTTCACTGAACCTGATGTCAGATGTTATTCCCTGTTTTGACTTGAACCACATGTTTCAGTGTCTTTTCAGGTGAACAACTGACTTGCTGGTAGTGGGGGCCGCCGGTTGGGCAGGATACGCTCATGATATAGTCGGAATCATACAGTCGACTCTGCTTCAAGCAGAGATTTCCTATGAATATGGAAAGGCCTTTGTGCGTCTTTATCGCACTGGCGGTGAACAACAAGCAACCAATGAAGGTCTCCACGTGGGGATTCCGGGCTAGAATAGATCCTCAGCAACCTGTGCTGGTCGTACGAGGCGACCAAATGGTCAGACTCCTTCACCTGGTTGATACAGTGTCATCGTGACCCAACGACTTGGGATGTTGCTCGTGATGTCAATCACTGCTTTCTCGTGTTCATACACGATTATTTACCGTCATACATGTAGCTAGAATATCGCATTGTTGACCAACAAACAGAATTACAGTTCATTTATTTGCAAAACACATAAAATGTTCCTGGCTTCACGTGTACTTTCGTTCACTGTATTTTATTGCGCTTCACAAAACATCCAATCACGATTTATCTCCCTTCGACCGCTCAGAAGCCAAATGAATGTGACAAGTCCTCACCACAGAAACGAGAGAGCTGTCGGTTCTGTGCTTCATTACGCGAAACATTAGATGTAGTTACAAAAACAATCAGTACATTTAATGTATATATGCACAAAGGTAGTTTCAGGGGATTCTGTTGAACACTGAGGCTGAAATTGTACTTAAATTCGTCCCTTGATTTCTACACATGTCATACAAGGTGAGTAAATTGGTGATCGGTTGGTCACAATGGCTGCTTAATACGGGTTTTTGACGTTGACTGGTTTGGCGGTGTGCAGCCACGATCAGCCTGTCGAACTCAGCAACTGTCGCCCGGATCATGGTGGTCGTAAGAATGCCTATAAGTCTGGCTGTCATGTTAATATTACACAGATGTTTCAGATATCACGAATAGATCCATAATACACTGGCATTATGATAATTCACAACAATTCATTTTGGGGAATCATTAAATGAATTATTGATATAAAATCAGGAATAAATAGTAAAACGGCGCTTGATATATAAATCTGCAACAAAACAGTCCTGAACAGAAGGAATAGCTCAATGTTACACTTGCATTGTGGTGCAAACATGCAAAATACATCATGCGGAGGAACTGGTATTCGATGTAAGGATCCTTCATCAAAGCCACTTACATTCGAACTTTTTAAAACATAAAATGGAAAACATGTTCAGATTAGATCTGAAGTCTAAAGGCAGTACGTGAGTAACCGTGTCTTGCTATTGAGATTACAAATATAATGTGTACACTTACAGACCATGTATGATTATATCTTCATTCATCACATTCAAGTAGCAAAGCTCAGATGAGTGATTAAAGACTAAAATATAATGTGATTTTACTAAAACACAGTGAAATGTGCTTAAAGGTGAATACACAATGACACATATCAAAACCTAAATCCTCAACTCACATGTGACTACAGTTGATTGAAAGAAGGATTGCGACATGTTCATTCACTTCAATGTAAATACCTTCACTTCATCTGGTGTACACACGTACATGCGGCCACGCCCACCAACACAAACTCCACGTGGACTCCGGACACCGTCCTGTGATGTCAGTATGTTTCTTACAAACTGTCCTGACTCAGTCAGATGGAGGACTCTGTGTAGATGGCAGTCTGTCACCAGAATGTCGCCTGTGCTGGTACTTGTGATACCAAGTGGAAACTTCAGTGCTGTGTCTCCTGTAGTGCTGTAGGTGAACACCACATCTCCCTCGGGAGTCAGACACACGACACACTTGGATCCACTGTCACACACCAGGATGTTTCCTGTCCTCGTGGTACAGAGGAAGTAGGAATTCTTCAAGATGTATCTCATAGGTTGTCCTGAACAAATTGACTTCAGCACGTGTCCCGTCATATCCAGGATATCAACACAGGGAGGGGAGGTGGAACTTGCTGCTAGTGTTGATGGTGTCAGAGACGTTATACCGTAGTACTGTTTGCTGGTTGTGATGGTTGACAGCAGCACTAGGCCAGGGTTGACTTGTACTGTTACAATCTGTCTGGTATCCGGCACAGTGACAGCCACCTGGTTGTCCTTCAACGTTGTTATACCATACGGGACACTACCTACACGGAGCCTGCTGTGACCGTGCTGCTTGTTCCTGGTGTAGAAGGACTTCACACTGTGGTTGTTCTTGTCTGTGACTACCACTGTGTCTGTACCATTCACCACAAACACCTTCACGTCAATGAGGTTTGCTCTAGATGTATCACCTGCTAGTCTGACGTTAATGGTGTCCTGTAACACAGAGGTCGCCTTCAGGTCCAGCACGTTAATGGTGTCCTGTAACACAGGAGTAGCCTTCAGGTCCAGCACACCCTCATACAGGACGTCTATCTCACCCAGCTGTAGATCATCCAGTGCTCTTCTAAGCTTGTCCGTGTCCTGTCTGAACATGATCCAGGCTATTCTTCCCTTCTCCTTCACGCCTGCGACTCCGACAGCCTCCACATCACCAGCCTCACATCCCTGGTACATCTCATACACACCCATGTCACACTCAGATTGTAGAGTCTGGTCTATCAGCTCTGCCTGTTGTTGGTACATCTGTACTGACATCTCACCTGACTTTATGTCTGCCTTCAGTTCTCCAATGTGTTGGTCAGACATTTCTTTCAGTTCAGCCAAAAGTGTCCGTTCCTTGACTTTGATCACCTCAATTGCTTTGACACTTGCAGATTTGATATTCGATTCTATTTGTAAGTAAAGCGTTAATGCTTCATTGACTTTGGAGGTTTGTTTACCAATATGTGTTTTCATCTCGTCTTGTTTCTTCAACAATACCTCTTTATTCCTTCTCAGCTCAGTTTTCATGGAAGGAATCTCAGACTCAATTTCAACAACCAAGTCACATTTCCTGTGATGGATAGTGCAGCATGTTTGACAAACAGCTGTTTTACAATCTTTACAAATATATTTGATATTTTCATCCTTGTGAACTTTACACATGACCTTTCTTTTGACCTTCATCTTTGTCTCTCCTGACAGGTCAACTACGCCATGGTGATTGGTAGATGGGATTCGTTTGTGCATCCGTAAACATCGTTCACAGAGTGCGTCATCACAGACAGAGCACCAAGATGTAGCTGGAGTTGTCTCCCCTTCCTCCCTGCAATAACTGCAGTCGGTCGTATCTGAAATAACAATATAACTTTGGTCCAGAGTATCAACACGGGGCATTGAAATGTTGCAGCATAACTACCTATTGATGCAGTACCTTTACTGTCATAAAGCGCACATGTGTAATCCAGAAGTAAAACAAATTGTAATTTGCATGTGGTCCTCCAGAATCAGGAATATGAATGCGATCACATTTCAGTCTAAATATGTATGTTAAATAAAAGTAGAAAACAAACATAGTATGTTAAAAAACTAGCATTGGGGACGTTCAGTTGACACAGGCATAGCAGTATACAAGGCACTGTTGACATTGAGATATCTACACCAGAGAGAATTATTTCAAAGTAACAGCTACATTTTTTTATTTCATAATGAAGGCGATCAGTGGAGACATGCAGATATTGTGAAAATTGTTGTGAGTGTGTTGGGTTTTTTTAATAATGAACTAAGCTTCTCTGTAATAGTTACCTCCCTAATGCTGATATGTTTACTCCTGTAGCTTGTTATGTAAATTATTCACTCTGTACAAAAGTGCTAATACCTCGCTACACTGAAACAGTGTCAACGTTTCCCGCTGTAGGCCTGTCCCCGATCCTCTCGACAGCCAGAACCGCTTCACGGAAATAGGTCAACGTTTCACGGTAGCGAAATGCTGTATTGTGGAAATAGTTCGAATTGAGCCAGACAGGTACCTTGCCCTTCGACTCCTAGGGGCTGTAGGCGAAGAGCTCAAGCGCTCTTGATTAGGTAAACCAGTCTAGGGCTTAACACATTGAACCCATGTCGGGAATTGATCTCGGGAATAACCACTAGGCTACCCGATACACCTTAGATTATATCGATGTTACTCATTAAGCACATGTTTACAATAGGATTTCATTTTGTATGCAAACCTTCAAAACAACATCATCAACGGGGTTAGAAAAGAAACAGAAAACTTTCTTCTTAACTTCACATACGTTCCTATACTCAGCATGCTCAACGTGCTTGGAGGATCATTGCCACTTGTTAAAACTGTACCTGTACATGATATGATTTCATGATATACACAAACCCTACAAACAACCTATAGACGACTTTCCATATAGCACAGAAACCTTAAACATAACGTATTTCTATATTCAAATCAAATGTAGGGGTAGTGGTTAAGGCGTTCGCTCGTCACGACAATTCCGAACATGAGCACACTTTGAAGCCCATTTCTGTTGTCCCTCCCCGTAATATTGCGGGTATATTGCTGAAAGGGCTGTATACCATACTTACTCACTCTGTCCTAGGAACCACACTAATATTCGTACAGATCACAAACACTCACCTTTAGATCCGGGACCAAACGAGTCCAAGAGTCCCTGGATGACAAAGATAGGCTTGACATCATCCGCCCACTCCTCCGCTGGTCTCTCAGGGGCAGACACTTTCGTCATCTTTCTGCAGAATGGACACAGGAGAGACTTGGCACTGATGGCTTCTGGTCTGGTTTTGGTGTAGCTGACGACACATTTCCGACAGAAGGTGTGATTACATACAAGTGTACAGGGCTTGTCAAACACCTCTGTACATATCGTGCATGTCAGGAAGTGTTCTGTTAACTTCTGGGAGGTCGCCATCTTACCTACACAAAGCCAAAACCAGCCCTGGTATTTCCGCTGTACACTAAATACAAATTTTAGCCTCTGTCCTTAAACATGGAACACTAAATGAGTGAGTGAGTTAGTTGGGTTTAACGCTGCTTTTAATAATATTCCAGTTATATCGCGGCGTGTCAGCTTAATGTGGGAGGAAAGCCCGAAGTGATGCAGGTCTCAGACGTTTACCACTTCGGTGAAACCCACGAGCACGGGTATGGTGCTGACTAACCTAGAAACATAATCGGGGCGAACCGGGATTCGAACCCACGATCATAGGTTTCTGGCGTGCCCAAGGGACGCAACTCTGCACAGCGAATCGCGGCGCCTTAGACGACTGGGCCACCCGTGCCCCCCTGGAACACAAACACTGGCTGTAGTTGTGGCACTTATTTACTGTCCCGTTCAAAACTGAGTAAGGGTATTTTCTATCCTCCCATTCACCGCCTGGATCATCCAGATCTTGAAACAATTAACAAATATCCCGTTTCGTAAAAACAACATTATCTCAGATGTGTGCAGATGTTATGAATTATGAACTAACATTCTGCAATACACTGTATTTTGTGTGCGTGGGTGTCAGAATGTGTGTGTGTGTGTGCGTGCGTGCGTGCGTGCGTGCGTGCGTGCGTGTGTGTGTGTGTGTGTGTGAGTATTTCTCAACTCCCGTCTGTATATACCCTGGATCTGTGGCCTGTCAGTGAGGAGATGTGTGCAGTGTATCGATCGCGTGACATAGTTGTTGGGTGACACCCACTCATTACCATATCGAAAGTAGGAGACATTATTACAGTTCACTTACTACCATATCAGGTGTAAAATGATACAGTTACGTAGAAGTATTTTCCCGTATAGTTTACTGCAGGATTTGTCAGGGGTCATGTCAGTAATAACTGTAACAGACACACGTGATATACACGTACACATACATCGGGATCAGTCTCAGTATTGAAGTCAATTCGTCGATCGAAGGCAATAGTGAAAGTGGATCTTTAAAGTATTCCGGTTAGCCTACATGTTACATTAAATAAGGTGCCCGGTAATGAGAATCTGCCTGGAGATGACTGTATAGTTAGATAAACCCTTGTGGTGTTACCAGTACACAGTAGGACAGGTGTGTAGCGTTATAACTGAAGTAGATGCAAGCCTTGTGACAACACACACTTACCTCGTGTTGAGGGAAATTGAGAAGCAGGAAGTGATTCATTCGTGGCCAGCTCTTGTCATTCCGGGACAAGCTTCTCGCAGTTTACGGAAAGGGGCGAGTGTTGACGAATGAATGTGTGTAACAAGGAAATGGGATTCGACCACAGGTTGGATTGTGTTTACGTGGAGTTATATGGAGAAACTATGGCACAATGTAGCAGCGCAGTGAATCGGAGCGACCTGTTAACCCAAAGAGGGGGCACGGGTGGCTCAGATGTCTAAGGCGCCGCGATACGCTGTGCAGAGTTGCGTCCCTTGAGCATGCAGGAAACCTACGATTGTGGGTTCGAATCCCGGTTCTCCCTGATCATGTTTACATGTTTGTCAGCACCATACCCGTGCTCGTTGGTATCACCAAAGTGGTAAACGTCTGAGACCTGTTACAGTTCTGGCTTTTGCCCCACGTTAAACTGACACGCCCTGATATAACTAGAATATCACTCACTCACTCACTATTAACTCAAAGGGAAATCAGTCTTGTATAAGGGCAGCAGCAGTTCATAAAATTATATTTAAAAGTCAAATATTTGATTTGTTATTTATTTTTATCTGGCATTTTAAATTGAGCATCGTGCACTACATGATGGATAGGACAACATTAACAGTTATGTTTCTCCATCGGAGACAAATGTCATGTACACGGAGTGTGTTTGTTACGAAGAGATAAGCAGTTTTCTGTTATATAAAACCAGGAAGTGATATTTTTATTGTTGCAAGAACTGTTGTTTGACACAGTTTTATATGTGTTGTGCTGGAAACACAAAATTATTTCGCGGAACAGCAAGTTTATTTCATTAAAATTACTATCTGCTTGCACCTTCAAACAGTTGACTGATAGCCTTCCAAGTGTTGGCAGTCTCCTTCTCTCATATCAACATTCCTAACCAATGTATGATTCTGACATCTTGTCAGGTGTCGATATGCAATTGAAACAATATGTTAGTAAAAAAATCTGTTCAAAACAGAATTTCGTGTGAAACCAACAAATGGTATGCAATCAACAATTGTATTACACAATTTACTAGTTTTACAAATCAATACTCATTTCTGCACAGCAATTACACTGGCAGCTCCCAATAGAGTGGTAGTACAATGGTCAGTGGCAGTATCAAATGCAAAATTATGATGGCAGTGGTGATATCAAAATGTTCAGTGATATTCACCTATCAACAACAGTCATCAAGCATCCGAGATAGGCCTAGGCTAGGAATTACACAAAACAACTGGTCTTGATGTAATGACAGATGAAATATGGGATGAAACAGTGACACGCCAGCCGCACTTAGATAATGTTACCAGCTTTAAGCATTTCCTACACAGTGTCAGAAAAGTCCAGTGTCCCTTGAACATCACAGAATATTCCACCTGTTACTTTAACTCTTGACATCCATCCATGATATTACAGAAGTTTACAGATATTTCGAGCATATAAATATAATAACTTCCTTACCACCGATTACATTAAATACTACTACATTCATGAAAAGTCATCATTGTCCAAGTACTTAACAAAACCTGACTATCACTTTGTCAGGGTTAGGTTAGGGTTAGGTTAGGGTTGCTAAAGCATTAGTGTTAGTTGCTAATGCATTAGTGTTGGTTGCTCGTGCATTAGTGTTGGTTGGTAATGCATTAGTGTTGGTTGCTAATGCATTAGTGTGGCTTGGTAATGCATTAGTGTGGGTTTGTAATGCATTAGTGTGGGTTGCTAATGCATTAGTATGGGTTGCTAATGGATTACTGTTGGTTGGTAATGCATTAGTGTGGGTTGCTAATGCATTAGTGTGGGTTGCTTATGCATGAGTGTTGGTTGCTAATACAGTAGTATTGCTTGGTAATGCATTAGTGTGGGTTGCTAATGCATGCGTGTTGGTTGGTAATGCATTAGTATCGGTTGCTAAAGCATGAGTGTTGCTTGCTAATGCATGAGTGTTGGTTGGTAATGCACTAGTGTTGGTTAAAACTGCATGAGTGTCCTCTTGCACCACCTCTGTGCAACCTCAAAACGGTGTTTTAAAATATGGAACAATAAGCACATTGCAAAGGAATCCGTGATGTACGATATAATTATATGGAGCAATATTGATAACGGGAAATAGTTATATTTACTATTGGTAGACTATTGTTATGCACAAATAAGTTTGAAAAATGTGTTTTTAAAAATAACTTCGTGACACAATTGTGTTTACATCAACTTGTTCTCGTCGATATATGGCTGAAAAAATGCCGATGCAACGTTAAATTTAAACACACACACACACACACACGCACGCACGTACGCATGCACGCATGCTCGCACGCACACACTCACACACGCACACACACAAACATATAGATAGACACATACATATTTAAGAGGTGGTGATGGGAAATTGGGTTTAACGTCGCGTCCAAGATTATTGCACTTATATAGCGACGGGCATGTACGTATGTGTGTATGTGGTTGCTTGTAATTGTCCGGACTGATGCCGATTTATAGTGCTAGCTCACTGAGATACCATGCCGCAGTTTAACATGAATACCCCACTCAGACACAGTATACTGACTCCGAGCCGACCAGTCCTTGTTTTAGCCTTAATGCCGAGCGCCAGACAGGGTAACAACAAGTACCATCTTTTAACGTCTTTTGGTATGACGCAACCGGGGATCGAACCCCGAACCTTCCGCTCTCCGGGCGGACGCTCTACCACTAGACCACGGAGGCGGTCTACATATTTAAGACGGTAGATGACAAAACATATCCAATATGTATAACTGTGATTTTCCAAAACTCCTGAAACAGAAGATACTCCTGGCCTACAGAAGATGAATTTCATGTGTTGATGATTTGCCCAGACTACAGTACCATAAGAATGAAATATTTACCCCAGTATTTTGTAATCAGGCCTTCGTTTGAAGGGTTTGTGATATTAATGCAGACTGGTGACGATAGTCTATTATCTAAGCGATCTCTATTATTGTATCATATATTTCACAAGAGAACAGTCCGTTTGTGAACAAATGTCTTTGTTACTTGTACAGTTATATTAAGGTGCGCTCATTGTAACATTTATAACGCCTTAATGTAAACATGATGTACTATTGGTCTTCTGGCCACATATACGACTAAACTGTCTGTCTTTAAACTGTAATGTATACACAACATAACTTTACGGTAGTGAGCAATAAGATCACGTTATTGTGCGTTGACTACAATCACGTGACCAGTTTGTTGTGGTTATAGCCGAGTGACGTCATTTTCGCCAAACTGTCGTGAGCTATTTTTAGAACCCCACGTGGACAGAAATTGACAGGGCAAAGTTGCGTGTTGTATATTTCGCCGCCTGGTTTCCTGAACGTGAAGTATATAAGGTTGTCAGTGGTGTGTGTGGTCATATCAACGTGAGGCAGTCAGACAGAGAACCTTTGGGATAATAGCTGGTGATAATTCAGAGTGTGAACGGACAATTGTGATACAACTCTTTGTTATTCACTTACACTGTTTCTACAGAACGGGACACATTTCAAGGAACATTCATCGTGTTCAGGTGATATTTGGTGATATCGCTATGGGTTTGTTACTATCGCGGCTTATGCAGATCTACAGTGAGTTTTCATCGGAACCAGCTCGGATCCTGATGCTGGGACTGGATCCAGCAGGTAGGCATGGGGAGGCCTCGGGGGTGTACGTTTTGTTTGTTTGTTTGTTTATTTAACGGCACACTCAGCAATATAACTATAAGACGGCGATTTGCAAATAATCGAAACTGACCACCACCCGATCCCGTTAGCCGACTTTTACGACAAGCATGGCTTGCTGAAGATCAATTGTAACCCGGATCTTTAGATGGAGGGGGTTACAACATGTGTAATTATTATTCTTTTCTGATTCAAAATGTAGTGCTTTAACACTTTTGTATTATTGGGAGGGTGGGGTATTAAACTTTAAATACCTTTTTGTCATGAAGTTATTAAGCTTGCATCGATCCACTTGCCAACAGGGCTTAACATTTCATCTGTTTAATCAGAACTTCGAACTTTAGTGCGGGCGGTCGGGTAGCCTGGTGGTTAAAGCGTTCGCTTGTCACACCGAAGACCCGGGTTCGATTCCCGACATGGATACAATGTATGAAGCCCATTCCTGGTGTCCCCCGCCGTGATATTGCTGGAATATTGCTAAAAACGTAGTGAAACCATACTCACTCACTCGAACTCTCGCAAATAAACCATGCTATAGATAGGGACGTGGTATAATGTGTTTAAGACCCACAGAAGATGTGCAATGTACAACGACACCTTGTTGATATATCGCTGAAACTTGAAGTCAATAGAATCCTCATCGGAATTCGAACCAAGCGTGTATATTTGTTATGGTATGATGGTATGATATTGTTGTGCTTGGTCAGTAATAAAATGGACCGCCTCCGTGGTCTAGTGGTGGAGCGTCAGCCCGGAGAGCGGAAGGTCTTGAGTTCGATCCCTGGGCGCGTCATACCAAAAGACGTTAAAAGATCATACTTGTTGTAACCCTGTCTGGCGCTTGGGATTAAGGGGCTTAAACAAGGACTGGTCGGCTCGGAGTAAGTATACTGTGTCTGAGTGGGATATACATGTTAAAATGCGGCATGTCGGCATCAGTTCGGACGAATACAAGCAGACACACACACACACACACACACACACACACACACACACACACACACACACACACACACACACACACACACACACACACATACGTCGCTATATAAGTGCCACAATCTTGGACGCGACTTTAAACCCCATGTCACCCATAATATTAGTGACCAGTGTGCAGGAAGAATATAATGTAGCGCAGTGAGCAAGATCAGTGCGTGGATTCGTCGCATTACAAATGTTATCCGTCTCGGTAATATGGTGGTGTTGTCCCAGGTAAAACGACCATCCTATACAAGCTGAAGCTGAACGAGAGCGTGTGCACCATCCCCACCATCGGCTTCAACGTGGAGACGGTCAGTCCGGTGAAGGGCGTGACGTTCACGGTGTGGGACGTTGGGGGCCAGGAGAAGATCAGACAGCTGTGGAAACACTACTACCTGAACACACAAGGTAGGTGTAATATAAGAACTACACACGGGGAGCCATGCACTTCAGAGGGCATGATCGACAGTTCGCAGTGCACCTTGTCTGTTTTGTTATTTTGTTGTTTCACTCAGCAATATTCCCGCTATATGACAACGTTCTGTAAATAATCGCGTCTGGACCAGCCAATCCAATGATTGACACCATGAGCATCGACCTACGCAATTGGGATACGATGACATGCATCAAGTCGGCAAGCCTGACCACCCGATCCCGTTAGTCGCCTCTTACGACAAGCACAGTCGCCTTTTACGGCAAGCATGGGTTGCTGAAGATCTAAGCTACCCCGGATCTTCACGGGTCACCTTGTCTGTCGTATCAAAATGGAGTTGAAAAAACGCCGCACCCACTAATGGACTCCTGTTTCTGATTGGCTGATAATCGAATGGGCGGGGTTTGTGCATAATTGCGCTAAACGATGTCACTGGTTTCATATTGTTATCCACAGTGTGTTTGTGTTAATGGTTATGCAAGCAGTCTGTAAATATATTATTGTTGACTATGCGTATTCACACATTCTGCTCACCGACCTTTACGTTTATATTTCCGTAAAGGCAAAAATTGATTAAGTCAATTCTTAAATAACCCCCAGGTCTGATCTACGTGGTGGACAGCGCAGACCGTCTGCGCATAAAGGAAGCCAGGTCGGAGCTGCACGGAATCTGCAGTACGCCGGAGATGGCGGGGGTACCGGTGGTGGTGATCGCCAACAAGCAGGATTTGCCAGGTGGGTGCGTCAGAGTGGTCCATGTGACAACAATCAAACCTTCAGCCTTGTTCCCTGGTTCACTGTAGCGCCAGCGCAGCATACCCAGGGAACCAGGCTGTCTCACCTACGGAAGGCAAACCAGTGGTTGATACCATGAGCAGGGTTTGGGAGGACTGAAACCAGTCTCCGGCACGACTAGCTATAACGGTTTACGAAGTGAGTGAGTGGGTGGGTGCTGGGCCATGTTAAGCCAAATTCCTGTCATGTTACAAAGTGGGAAATCGGCTTCATGAATTATACGGGGTGGGGATTGGGTGTCAAACAAGTGGGCCACCCCAACGCCACTGGCATATAATAGCCAATGACTTATATATCAAACGTCAGGTGTGTTTTATACAGTCAAGGGACACAACTCGACACTACATATACAGAAATTATGTCTCTATTTATGTACCATTCGCATTGCTGAAAATAGGCCTATTTTCCGATCCTGTTATATCTTCATTTTGTTATGTATCCTTGTGTGTCTGTACATAGGTGCCCTAAAGCCCTCGGATGTCGTCGCGGAACTTGACATGAGGGACCTCAGTGACCGGAAATGGTACATACACGGCGCATGCGCACCAAACGGAGAAGGGTTATTAGAATCAGTGCAGGAAATGTCGCGACTCGTGAAAGACTTTCAGAAAGCTCGTCGATGATGACAGGGGACGTTCCACAACACCAAGCATAATAAAGAATCAAAACAGCACAATGAACAAGTATGTGGTATACAGGGCTCTTCTCCCCGTCTGAAGTTCAGCGAGACACCATATAAGTCGAGAGGATAGAGTCCAGTTCTGCTGGTGCGTGTAAGTGCGTCTGCCATCCCGGAGGTAACTTCATTTGGAAGACATACTTGAACTCGTTCTTAAAGGTTCTCACAACGGTGGCAATGTGAAGTTCAAATTCCCTTGGATATTGAAATCAACGAAATGATTATGTGAGTGAGTGTTGTGTTACGCTGCATGAGCGGTTATGTTGCTATACTGGCGGTGAACTGTGTCTGAAATTAGACTGTGATAGCTCAGTTTCGTTAAGTTTGAAACTCTACAGAAATCAACGAATGGCTTTATTTACAGTGTCATAGATTCATTTTTATTTTGTTGTGTATTTGTAAATATGTTGTAAATATTGTTTGTATTTGTTGTTTTTAATAAAAACGTATTTCAACCACTGGGGAGTTCACCCTTGATTTTTCTGATATAATGATTGGTCTATGCATAGACTCGTTAGTCCAGCCAAACTGTAACTCTAGAATTCCAACAGTGGAAACTGGACTTTTATAATCAGTTAACGACCTTGTCTCGGGAAGATGTCTTACATTCAAATAGCTAACAGGGTCAGTGTGTGAGGTATGGACCACAGAAACCATTGACAAAACAAACCATGCCACACAACCTGACCTAATCAGGTTACACACTGTAACCACTCAGTCTCCATCTTAGGAGGTAGATACAGGCACTGGGGACAGTGAGTGAGTGTGTTGAGTTTAATGCCACTTTGAACAATCTTCCAGTCATGTCACGGCGTGTCAGCTTGTGGGAGGATCATTGGTCAACAAAGGAACGCAACTGTGCATAACGACTAGCCTCGGACCACCCGTACCCTCGTATTTAATTGAGCCACGTTCCAGAAAGCGATCGTATTGCTGTGACTGTCACAAGTCTATGTTAAAGTATGGGAGTTACAATCATCTTGGTGCTGCGACTGTCGCAAGTCTATGTTAAAGTATGGGAGTTACGATCACCTTAGTGCTGCGACTGTCGCAAGTCTATGTTAAAGTATGGAAGTTACGATCATCTTATTGCTGCGACTGTCGCAGGTTTTTGTTAAAGTATGGAAGTTACGATCACCTTAGTGCTTGCTGCGACTGTCGCAAGTTTATGTTAAAGTATGGGATCCGGAGTTGCGATCATCTTAGTGCTACGACTGTCGCAAGTCTATGTTAAAGTATAGGAGTTGCGATCATCTTAGTGCTGCGACTGTCATAAGTCTATGTTAAAGTATGGAAGTTACGACCACCTAAGTGCTGCGACTGTCGGAAGTCTATGTTCAAGAATGGGAGTTATGAGTTGCGTTCAGACTGCTTTGTGGAACGGACCCGTGTGTTGGGTAAATATATAGTCGTGTATAAAGTCTAGGTTTCAAGGGTTGATTATTCTAGGGAGTGACTTTGGTTTAACGCCAGTTTTACCAGTATTCCAGCTGTATCAAGGCATGTCGACTTAACGTGTTGGGATGTTTGGAGTGATGCGGGTCTTAAACGTTTTGCTATTTGCTGAATCGAACAAGGAGGGTTATAAGCCATTCAACTGACATTGGAGTCTATCTTAACAGCATGAAGTCACATGGTCATATAATTAACAATGTCATCCAGTAAACATATTTATTCGTAAAAAAGAGTACAAGTTGTAACATATTTCATTACCAGCATATTAGTCATCTTGTAAAAAATGTAATACACGGGAGCTATAAGAGAGGTAAATGGATGTAAAACAACAAAGAACTAACCCAAAGGTGACAACACTGAAACCTGATACTGCTCAGGGTAGAGCACCTGGGAACATTGACAAATCACAGACTTGTTGGAGAGAATCAGTGTGAGCATACTACAACGTCTGGTTACAACCGCTAGCAACATGTGACAACACCCCAGCTGCTGGCAAGTGGTTACCTGGGCAACATGTGAGTTAAACCCTAGCTGCTGGCAAGTGGTTACCTGGGCAACATGTAAGTTACACCCCAGCTGCTGGCAAGTGGTTACCTGGGCAACATGTGAGTTACACCCCAGCTGCTGGCAAGTGGTTACCTGGGCAACATATAAGTTACACCCCAGCTGCTGGCAAGTGGTTACCTGGGCAACATGTGAGTTACACCCCAGCTGCTGGCAAGTGGTTACCTGGGCAACATGTGAGTTACACCCCAACTGCTGACAAGTGGTTACCTGGGCAACATGTTAGTTACACCCCAGCTGCTGGCAAGTGGTTACCTGGGCAACATGTGAGTTACACCCCAGCTGCTGGCAAGTGGTTACCTGGGCAACATGTGAGTTAAACCCCAGCTGCTGGCAAGTGGTTACCTGGGCAACATGTGAGTTACACCCTCGCTGCTGACAAGGGGTTTATTGGGCAACATGGGAGTTATACCCTAGCTGTTGGCAAGGAGTTTACTGTGCAACAAAGGAGTTACACCCCAGCTGCTGGCAAGGGGTTTATTGGGCAACATGGGAGTTATACCCTAGCTGTTGGCAAGGAGTTTACTGTGCAACAAAGGATTTACACCCGAGCTGCTGGCAAGGGGTTATTTGGCAACATGGGAGTTATACCCTAGCTGTTGGCAAGGGGTTTATTGAGCAACATGGGAGTTATACCCTAGCTGTTGGCAAGGAGTTTACTGTGCAACAAAGGAGTTACACCCCAGCTGCTGGCAAGGGGTTTATTGGGCAACATGAGAGTTATACCCTAGCTGTTGGCAAGGAGTTTACTGTGCAACAAAGGATTTACACCCGAGCTGCTGGCAAGGGGTTTATTGGGCAACATGAGAGTTATACCCTAGCTGTTGGCAAGGAGTTTACTGTGCAACAAAGCAGTTACACCCTAGCTGCTGGCAGGGGGTTTATTGGGCAACATGAGAGTTATACCCTAGCTGTTGGCAAGGAGTTTACTGTGCAACAAAGGAGTTACATCCGAGCTGCTGGCAAAGGGTTTGTTGGGCAACATGGGAGTTATACCCTAGCTGCTGTCAAATGGTCAGACTCCGTCACCTGGTTGATACAGTGTCCTCTTGACCCAGCAACTTTGGATGTTGCTCGTGATGTCAGTCACTGCTTTCTCGCGTTCATTCTCGATTATTTACCGAGATATACATGCAGCTTAAATATCGCGGTGTTGACCAACAAACATAGCATTACAGTGGATTAATTTATTTGCAACACACATAAACAGCGTTCTATGATCAAATGTTCCTGGCTTCACGTGTATATTCGTTCACAGGGTCGCTCGGGTAGCGTAGTGGTTAAAGCCTTCGCTCGTCACGCCGAAGACCCGGGTTCGATTCCCGACATGGGTACAATGTGTGAAGCCCATTTCTGGTGTCCCCCGCCGTGATATTGCTGGAATATTGCTAAAAGCAGGTAAAACAATACTCACTCACTCACTCATATTCGTTCACTATATTTTATTGCGCCTTGAAAAACATCCAATCACGATTTATCTCCCTCCGACCTCTCAGTTACCAAGTGAATGTAAGAAGTCCTCACCACAGAAACGAGAGAGAAACGGGTTAATTTATATATGTACAATAGTAGTTTCACGCGATTCTGTTGAACACTGCGGCTGACATTGTACTTAGCTGACATCGGCCCTTGATTCCTACACATGTTATACAAGGTGACTAAATTGGTTATCGGTTGGTCACAACGGCTGCTTAATACGGGCTTTTCACTTTGACTGTTTCGGCGATTTCCGTACCGCATGTCACATGATCAGCCTCTCGAACGTAGAACTCAGAAACGCCAGACTCTCGCGGGCCTCCTTTGCAGGTCACAGTGACACAGCAGTGCAACTGTCGCCCGGATCTATGTGGTCGGAAGAATGTCTATAAGTCTGTAACAAAACAGTGTTATAAATCAGGAATAAATAGTAAAACGGCGCCCCGTGTGTAAAGCTGTAACAAAACATTGCTGCTTATTGTCCTCAGCATAGCAAGCAAGGATTACTGTCATGTAAATATCCATCCTACACCATCTCAGCTCACACCACTTCTAGTTATAACACAGAAGGAATAGCTCCGTTACACTGTCATAGTGGTTGCACCAATGAAAAACACATCATGCGGAGGATCTGGTATTCGATATAATGACATTTTATCAAATCCACTTACATTCGAACTTTGTTATAAACAAAATGGAAAAGATGTTCAGATAAGATCTGAAGCAGTAGTGAATAACCGTGTCTTGCTATTGCGATTACAAATATAATGTGTACACTTACAGACCATGTATGATTAAATCTTAATTCATCACATTCAAATAGCAAAGCTCAGATGAGTGATTCAACACTAATATATAATGTGATTTTACTAAAACACAGGGAAATGTGCTTCAAGGTAAATACACAATGATACATATCAAAACACATAAATCCTCAACTCACACGTGACTACAGTTGATTGAAAGGATGATTGCGACATGTTAACTCATTTACAGCATGTAAATACCTGCACGCCATATGCTGTACACACGTACATGCGGCCACGCCCACCAACACACACTCCACGTGGACTCTGGACGGCATCCTGTGATGTCAGTATGTTTCTAACAAATTGTCCTGACTCAGTCAGATGGAGGACTCTGTGTAGATGGTTGTCTGTCACCAGGATGTCGCCTGTGCTGGTACTTGTGATACCGTGTGGCCACCCCATTGCTGTGTCTCCTGTAGGGCTGTAGGTGAACACCTCATCTCCCTCGGGAGTCAGACACACGACACACTTGGATCCCCGGTCACACACCAGGATGTTTCCTGTCCTCGTGGTACAGAGGAAGTTGGGATTCTTCAAGATGTTTCTTCTAGGGTGGTCTGGACGAATCGACTTCAGCACGTGTCCCGCCATATTCAGGATATCAACACAGGGAGGGGAGATGGAACTTGCTGCTAGTGTTGATGGTGTCAGAGACGTTATACCCCGGTACTGTTTGCTGGTTGTGATGGCTGACAGCAGCACCAGGTCAGGGTTGACTTGTACTGTTACAATCTCTCTGGTATCCGGCACAGTGACAGCCACCTGGTTGTCCTTCAACTTTGTTATACCATACGGACTACCACCCAGACTGAGCCTGCTGTGACCTGGCTGCTTGTTCCTGGTGTAGAAGGACTTCACACTGTTGTTGATGATGTCTGTGATTACCACTGTGTCTGTACCATTCACCACTAACACCTTCACGTCCATGAGGTTTGCTCCATATGTATCTCCTGCTACTCCGACGTTAATGGTGTCCGGTAACACAGGAGTAGCCTTCAGGTCCAGCAGGTTAATGGTGTCCTGTAACACAGGAGTAACCTTCAGGTCCAGCACATCCTCATACAGGACGTCTATCTCACCCAGCTGTAGATCGTCCAGTGCTCTATTCAGCTTGTCCGTGTCCTGTCTGAACATGATCCTGGCTATTCTTCTCTTCTCCTTCACGTCTGCGACTCCGACAGCCTCCACATCAACGGCCTCACATCCCTGGTACATCTCATACACACCCATGTCACACTCAGATTGTAGAGTCTGGTCTATCAGCTCTGCCTGTTGTTGGTACATCTGTACTGACATCTCAACTGACTTTATGTCTGCCTTCAGTTCTCCAATGTGTCTGTCAGACATTGCTTTCAGTTCAGCCAGAAGGTTCCGTTCCTTCACTTTGATCATCTCTATTGCTTTGAGACCTGCAGACTTGATATTCGATTCTATTTGTAAGTAAAGTGTAAATTCTTCATTGACTTTTGAGGTTTGTTTTTTAACATGTGTTTTCATCTCGTCCTGTTTCTTCAACAAATCCGCTTTATTCCTTCTCAGCTCGGTTTTCATTGCAGGAATCTCCGACTCAATTTCAACAACCAAGTCACATTTCCTGTGATGGATAGTGCAGCATTTTTGACAAACAGCTGTTTTACAATCTTTACAAATGTATTTGATGCTTTCATCTTTGTGAATTTTACACATGACCTTTCTCTTGACCCTAACCTTTGTCTCTCCAGACATATCAACTACGTCATGGTGACGGAAAGATGGAATTCGTCTGTGTACTCGTATACATCGTTCACAGAGTGCGTCGTCACAAATTGAGCACCAAGATGTAGCCGGAGTTGTCTCCCCTTCCTCCTTGCAATAACTGCAGTGAGTCGTATCTGAAATAGGAATGTAATCACGTAGAGATAGTAACAGTGCTATATCACTATCTGTTACAGAACTTCATGTGGCATATCACTCACACGTGTGAGACAACATGCATCAATAACATCCCAATACCACGTAATGTGAAAAAGTATGTAAATAACATTGGATTTGTCTCACTGATAGAAATCCCCATATAGATTTCAGAAGAAAATAGCGATTGTGTCTGAGATAGGCCTTAGACTATCTCCCTTTCGAATCATGTCCGGATAATCGTTGTTACTTGTTAAAACAGCGTACACGATACGATTTCATAGTCTACATACAGTCTACAAACAACTTAATAAATGACTTTCGATACATTTTGAAACCTTACAAAATATCTTCTCACTCAACACACATTCCTATAATCCAATCAGGTGTGGAGTTACCTGCTTCGAAATAACATTTATATTCATACAAACCACAAACTCTCACCTTTAGATCCGGGGCCAAACGAGTCCAAGAGTCCCTGGATGACAAAGCTGGGCTTGACGTCATCTGCCCACTCCTCCACTGGTCTCTCAGGGGCAGACACTTTCGTCATCTTGCTGCAGAATGGACACAGGAGAGACTTGGCACTGATGGCTTCTGGTCTGGTTTTGGTGTAGCTGACCACACATTTCCGACAGAAGGTGTGATTACATACAAGTGTACAGGGCTTGTCAAACACCTCTGTACATATCGTGCATGTCAGGAAGTGTTCTGTTAACTTCTGGGAGGTCGCCATCTTACCTACAAAATAACAAACCAGCCGCTGAACAAAACATCATGATCTTAGCCACAATCCGAGCTTACAATTCTTGAACACGTGACACTAAGACCGACTGTAGTTAAGAAAGGGTATTTGTATCCTACCGTTCATCGCCTGGATCATCCAGATCTTGAAACAATTAACAAATATCCCGTGTCATACATGTATAAAACATCTTTCAGATGTATACAGATCTTATAAATTAAGAACTAATATTCTGCCTTACACATGCGTTCGTGCGTGCTTGCGTGCGTGCGTGCTTGCGTGCTTGCGTGCTCGTGTATATGCGTGTGTGATTTTCTCAACTCTCGGCGGTCGTACAGGAAGCATAAATAGGAATTTTATAGCTACCCATTCACCCGTGTGTGTGTACCCGGGATCAGTGAGCTGACAGTGAATAGTGCTTTACAACTCGAGGTCACACGCTCGCTTTACAACATGAAGTGTGTGCAGTGTATCGATCACGTGACATAGTTATGGGGTGACACCCACTCATTACCATATCGAAAGTAGGAGACATTATTAGGGTTCACATACTAGCATATCAGATGTGAAATAATATAGTTATGTAGAAGTATTTTCCCGTATGGTTTACTGAAGCATTTGTCAGGGATCATATCAGTAATAACTGTAATAGACACACGTGATATATACATACACATACATCGGATCAGTCTCAGTATTGAAATCAAGTATCGAAGGCAATAGTGAAAGTAGATCTTTGACGTATTCCGGTTAGCCTACATGTTACATTTAATTAGGTGCCCGGTCATGAGAATCTGCCTGGAGATGACTGAAAAGTTAGATGAACCCTTGTGGTGTTACCAGTACACAGTAGGACAGGTGTGTGGCGTTATAACTGAAGTAGATGCAAGCCTTGTGTCAACACGCACTTACCTGGTGTTGAGGGAAATTGAGCAGCAGGAAGTGATTCATTCGTGACCAACTCGTGTCATTCCGGGACAAGCTTCTCGCAGTTTACGGAAAGAGTCGAGTGGTGACGAATGCACGTGTGTAACCAGAGGTAGGACTGTGTTTACGTTGAGGTTCTGAGAGCAGGCCCACACTGTAGCACCGCAGTGAATCAGAGCGACCTGTTATCCCACACGCAAGCAGCATATTTTATACAGTGTAGTAAATCATTCATGTTAAATAAGCACAGCAGAAGTACATAAAATTCGAATTAAATATAAACTATTTTATTTGTTATTTATTTTATATTACATGCGACCATGACATATCGATACATGTCAAATTTCCATATTTAAACAATATGTTAACCCAGAAATTAGTTCGTAACAGAATTTAGGGTGAAACCAACAAACACCCAACAAATGGTATACAATCAAATATACAATTAATAAAGTTACTGCACTGCAATGACATTGTCAGTAAGCAATAGAGTGGTTGTACAAAATTCAATGACAGGTTTAAATATGATGACAGTGGTGACATCAAAACAGTTCACTAAAAACAAATGCATAAAGAAAATATCATCTTTAGAGGAGAAAGGTCTTACCTCAGTAAGTCAGTCAGAATGTCAGCGAGTCGTAATACATTTACATAAGGTACAAAATGATAAACGTGACGGGTATGACGGTAAAGATTTCCGAGTTGTCAATGAACCTGTGTCGGTTACATATATTGGTCATCATTTATGAATTATCGATCATTGAAAAATGTTTATAAAGATACTAAGGTAAATCCATAGATTGCCATAGGCTGTCGCTGTCAGTCTAGACACGGATCGAGTCGGTACTATGATAGTTTGGATGGTTTGGTTCGTGAACGATTATGCAGTCAAACACTCTGACGTGTTTGAGTTCAAGAATAAAGGGTCTAAATAATCAGAAACAACGCTTTTTTCCTGTATTCGTGTAAGGGAATTCCCAGGCTTCCCCCAGGAAAGTGTAAGTAGTCCGTCGGTGTTTATGTCATTTCAAGAATACGGTCTCCTGAAAAACGTAAGAACATCAAGTTGTGTCGCTATGAACGCCATGTGAGCGACCTCTTGTCCAAAGGAAAAGACGTATATCGTGTACACTTGATTTTTGTCCATGCAATGAACTTCTGAATGCCAACAGAAACAATGTAATACAGTTACAATCATTGTTGAACAACAAAATAAATACTACAAAATGTGTGTGCCTGATACTTTAGTGTGGGTTCCTAATACAGGAGTGTTGGTTGCTAATGTATAGGTGTGTGTGTCTGATGCTTTAGTGTGGATTCCTAATACATGAGTATTGGTTGGTAATGTATAAGTCTGTGTGTCTGATGCTTTAGTGTGGGCTGCTGATGGATGAGTGTTGGTTGGTAATGTATTAGTGTGTGTGTCTGATACTTTAGTGTGTGTTCCTAATACATGAGTTTTGGTTGCTAATGTATAAGTGTGTGTGTCTGATGCTTTAGTGTGGGCTGCTGATGGATGAGTTTTGGTTGCTAATGTATAAGTGTGTGTGTCTGATGCTTTAGTGTGGGTTCCTTATATATGAGTGTTGGTTGCTAATGTATTAGTGTGTGTCTACTGCATTAGTGTGAGTCCTAACGCATGAGTGTTGGTTGTTAATGTATTAGTGTGTGCGCCTGGTGCTTTAGTGAAGGCTCCTAATGCGCGAGTGTTGGCTGCTAATGTATCAGTGTTAGTGCCTGATGCTTTAGTGTGGGTTGCTAACGCATGAGTGTTGGTTAGTAAAGTATTAGTGGGTGTGCCTGCTGCTTTAGTGAAGGCTCCTAATACGTGAGCTTTGGTTGCTAATGTATTAGTGTTTGTGCGTGATGCTTTAGTGAAGGCTCCTAATACATGAGTTGTGGTTGCTAATGTATTAGTGTGTGTGCCTGATGCTTTAGTGTGGGTTCCTAATACATGAGTGCTGGTTGCAAATGTATTAGTGTGTGTGTCTGATGCTTTAGTGTGGGTTCCTAATATATTAGTGTTGGTTGCTGAAGTATTAGTGGGGCGGTCGGGTAGCCTAGTGGTTAAAGCGTCCGCTCGTCACGCCGAAGACCATCGAAAACCATACTCACTCACTCACTCACTGAAGTATTAGTGTTGGTGCCTTATGCATTTGTATTGGTCGCTGATACATTAGTGTGGGTTGTTAATGCATTAGTGTGGGTTGCTAATGCATTAGGGTTTGCTGCTAATGCATAAGTGTCGGTCGCTAATACATAAGTGCTGGTTGCTAATGTATTAGTGTTGGTTGCTAATATATAAGTTTGGGTTGCTGATGCATTAGTGTTGGCTGCTGATGCATTAGTGTGGGCTGCTAATGCTCTTGCGTGGGTTGCTAAGGCTTTAGTTTGGCTAACTGAAGCATAATAGTTGGCTATAAATGCATTAGTGTTGGTTGCTAGATATTAGTGTGTGTGCCTGATGCTTTAGTGTAGGTTTCTAATACATGAGTTTTGGTTGCTAATGTATTAGTGTGTGTGCCTGATGCTTTAGTGATGGCTCCTAATACATGAGTTTTGGTTGCTAATGTATTAGTGTGTGTGCCTGATGCTTTAGTGTGGGTTCCTTATGCATGAGTGTTGGTTGCTGAAGTAGTGTTGGTGTCTGATGCATTAGTGTGAGTTGCTGATGCGCATTAGTGTGGTTGCTAATGCCCTTGTGTGGGTTGCCAATGCATTTGTGTGGGTTACAGATGCAATGGTGTGGGTTGTTATGCATCAGTGTTGGTTGGTAATGTATTAGTTAGGGTTGGTGAAGCATTAGTGGGGGCTGCTAATGCATTAGGGTTTGTTGCTAATCAATAAGTGTGGGTTGCTGATGCATTAGTGTTGGTTGCTAATACATAAGTGTGGGTTGCTAATGTATTAGTGTTGTCTGCTAATATATTAGTTTGGGTTGCTGATGCATTAGTTTTGGCTGCTGACGCATTAATGTGGGTTGCTTATGCACTTGTGTGGGTTGCTGGTGCATTAGTATGGGTTGATAATGCATCTGTGTTGGTTGCTAATGTATTAGTGTGTGTGCCTGATGCTTAAGTGTAGGCTTTTAATACATGAGTGTTGGTTGCTCATGTATTAGTGTGTGTGTCTGATGCTTAAGTGTGGGTTCCTAATACATTAGTGTGAGCTTCTGATGCTTTAGTTTGGGTTGCTGGTGAACTAGTGTGGTTGCTAATGCACTTGTGTGGGTTGCCAATGCATTAGTGTGGGTTGCTTAAGCATAAGTCTTGGTTGCTGATGCATAAGTCATGGTTGCTGATGCATGAGTGTTGGTTGATAATGCATCTGTGTCGGTTGTTAATGTATTAGTTAGGGTTGGTGATGCATTAGTGGGGGCTGCTAATGCATAAGGGTTTGTTGCAAATGAATTAGTGTGGGTTGCTGATGCATTAGTGTTGGTTGCTGGTGCATTAGTGTCGGTTGCTAATACATAAGTGTGGGTTGCTAATGTATTAGTGTTGGTTGCTAATATATTAGTTTGGGTTGCTGATGCATTAGTTTTGGCTGCTGATGCATTAATGTGGGTTGCTTATGCACTTGTGTGGGTTGCTAAGGCATTAATTTGGGTTACTGATGCATAAGTGTGAGTTATAAATGCATTAGTGTCGGTTGCTAATACATTGGTGTTGGTTGCTAATGTATAAGTGTGTGTGTCTGATGCATTAGTGTTGGTTGCTGTTGCATTAGTGTGGGTCTTCTATGCAACAGTGTTGGTGGTTAAAGCATTAGAGTGAGTTCTTATGGTCCTTTGTCATTGCAAACACCGCTGTGAGGTCACCTGTCACGTGTTCGTTCATACCTTCTTCAAGATCCCATGATGAGATTGTTTCATCGTGCCCGAAGACCTGGTTCTTTGCTGATGCCACCAAGCACTGTTTAGCCCAACACTTCTTCACAGGTCGTTGTGCTATAAGTAGCATATTGCTGACTGTGGTGTTAAACAGCATTCACTCACTCGGATATAAAACATGTAGATACGTGTACATTACTAAGCAACCAAACTGCATCTTGAATCATTATGAATAAT